TGTTTCCTTTCCAGTTGTTTATTTCGTCTTTTTTATTGCACTATGCGACGGGCTCGCAATTTCCAGCGTCAAATTAGCGAATCGGAATCGGAGTCCAGCGACTCCGCCGACGAGCTTGTCTGCATTTCGTCGAGCGACGACGAAGCTCTGAGTCAGACGACGACTGTAGATGTCGAGACAGCACTGCCGCTGCGTTCCGACGACAACTCCAACAGCAAGGCTGCCCCGGCAAGTGTTAGCAAAACGACTCCTGCGCACAGCTTGGGCCCTGGCCTCCACAATGGGCCGCTCAGCTTTGGAGACATAACGTCGTCCCGGCGAATGCAGCAGGTGCCAGGCAAGGAGAAAATCGGCATGATGCGGCTGACACCAAAGAAGGCCACGCCAATCGCCATCCCGCAGACCATGACGCGCAAGGACGTTGCGAGCTACCGCAAAGCCGTGCGCCAGCAACATCCGGCTCCGCAGATCCAGATGTACGACCCGACCGAGGCACCGCCCGAGCCCAAACCCGAGCCAAAGCCGCGCAAGCAAAATCTAAAGACAAAGCTAAAGGCGAAGGCGCATGCGGTTGCAGACGACTTGGAGGCAATGCTCAATGGCCTAGCTAATATCAAGCTGACCGACGACCATACCATCGATACGCCGGCGGAAATGACCATTTCTCTGAAACAGCACCAACGCGAGGGCGTGGCATGGATGCGGCGCAACGAGCAAAATGACCAGCGGCGCGGCGGCATTCTGGGCGACGACATGGGGCTGGGCAAGACCATCCAGGCGCTGGCGCTGATGGTAGCCCACAAGCCGCGGAATAACGGCGCCCACGGCACGCTGATCGTCGCGCCAATGTCGACGCTGAACCACTGGAAGTGCGAGGCCGAGACACGGCTGAAGCCCGGGACGCTGAGCGTGCTGGTGTACCATGGATCCAAGCGTGCGGACCACGCAGAGTCACTGCCCAACTACGACCTGGTGATCACGTCGATTGGTGTGGTGTCATCGGAATGGGGCCAGATGCAGACCACAACCATGTTCAATCTGTCGGCACAGGGGCGCAAGCAGCGCGACGCCGAGACCCTGGAGCTGGCAGCAAACGGGCCGCTGTTTCGGACAAAGTGGCGGCGGATAGTCATTGACGAGGCACACGAGCTAAAGAACCGAAAGTCGAACAAGAGCATGGCGTGTTGCGACCTGGTTGGCCGCTATCGCTGGTGCCTGAGCGGCACGCCGATCCAGAATTCGGTGGAGGACGTATACTCACTTCTGCGGTTTCTGCGGGTAGAGCCGTACTGCCGCTACTCGAACTTTCAGGGTCTGAGCCGTCACCCAGATCAGGGGCTGAGCAATGTGCGGTCGGTTCTCGAGGCCATCATGCTGCGGCGGCGCAAGGCCACTGTGTCCGAATCGTCGCAGCTCCAGCTGCCTGCGCGCTTCTACTATATTCACCGCGTGGACTTGTCACCGGCCGAGCGGCTGTTCTACAACCGCATTGCGCTCGAAGAGTCATTAGCTGCCGACTCTTTGGGCAACGCGACGATGCTGCACCTGCTGCAAATGCTGCTGCGGCTGCGCCAGGCGACCAGCCATCCGTCGATTCCATTGCGCTCGGGCTGCTTGAGCCAGGACTGCCTAGGAATAGGCAGCCGCATTAGTTTAAACCAAAGCCATATATGGTCGCATACGGACGATGCCGTGCGCAAGCTGCCGGTGCGCAGCTACGACACTGTGGACTTCTGTGCATACTGCCGCAATGCGCTGGACTTTAGCCGCACCATCTCTGTGCACCGGTGCGGCATGTTTGTCTGCCACCGCTGCACCCAGAACGACGAGGATGGCTGCGCGTGCGACATGTGTGTTTCACTGGGGCTTGCGAGCGAGGCCAAACGGCCAGGCGACGATTTTGTTGTCTACCGGTATATGGGACGACCTGAGGCCAAAGTGGATGCGCCGCTGGTCGACTGGTTCCAGCGCCAATATATGTCCGAGAGCCCGCATCCAAGCACCAAGATGAAGCGCATACTGGCAATTCTCAGGTCTGCCGATAAGGGCGATTCGAACGACAAAACGGTCGTGTTCACCGAGCACCTGAGCGCCCTCCATATGCTGTCACAGTACTTGGCCAGCAACGGGTTCCCCAACCTGGTGTACCATGGTGCGCTGGACAAGCCCAAGCGCGACCGGGCGCTGGACGAGTTTGGCACAAACAAGCATATCCGCGTTTTGCTGGTCAGCAAGAAGGCCGGCGCAGTCGGAATCAACCTGATTGCCGCCAACCACGTCATTATCGAGTCGCTGTGGTGGAATCCGGCAGTCGACAACCAGGCCGTCGACCGTGTCTTTCGGATTGGACAGATCAAGCAAGTTCATGTCCACCTGCTGATTGCCCGCGATACTGTAGACGAGAAAATGTTTGACATTCAGGAAGAAAAGCGGCGGCTGATTAATGCAGTTATCAGCGACGACAGCGCCGCAGATTCGGCCAAGCTCAACCGCACGGACCTCATGAATATTCTGCGCAGAGTTTGGGATGGCTAGTTTATTGTTTTTTTAAACAACTGTATAAGCAGACCACCTACTAGAAATAGAAATACACAATTTGTGTTTTTGCGCCAAACTTCCATTGAGCTAAAAATGAATCCGGACTGAATCTTCTTGAACTATCCTTTAAAGCAGGCTGTCATTTAGTGGAGCATCTTGGTCTTTATGAATTTTCTTTTGCTACAATTAACCTTTCAAATGTTTGTTTCAAAGTAAATTTGCTTAGCCTGCCTAAAGCGCCTTTCTTTTTATTCTGCTTGCAAAAGCAAAAAAAAAAACCTTCTTTGCTCTTTCTAGCAAATTAGTAGTTTTCTGTCGGACAAAAAAATGAACATACCAAAAGCAGCACATTTTTCTTCCATTCCTTGACATTATGCACCCTTAATTCTCACTATTTTATTATTCAAGCCATTCACCGATCTCATACTAAAATTATTCTTACTCAAAGACATATGAGGTGTGCTCACTGAGCCTGAAAACAGCTGCAATATATAAACCAATAAAATGAGCGATGAAACACCAAATTTAACTGTAACAGCAGAAGAACAAAATCAAATTTCACAGGCAGCAGCCACAGCAACCCCAGCTGCTCCAGCACCACCTCCCCCAGCAGCCACAACTACAACAGCTACAACACCAGCTGCAACTACAACACCAGCCCCAGCACCACCACCACCTGCCCCAGTAGCAGCTCCTCCCCCAGTAGCAGCACCTCCCCCAGTAGCAGCACCACCACCTGCCCCAGTTGGAGATCCTCCTGGTGGTGAGGCAGAAGCTAAAAATGAGGGAACAGAACGCGATTTCATTAGTCGGATCATGGTTGTATTGGTATTCTGCTTGGCCATGACAGCAACATGCTTGCTGGCCATCTATACCTGCACCTGGCTAGGCGAGTTTGCATACAATGTGCAAATTGCCAAGCATGTGGTTATTCTGTTATGGCTATTCTTCCTCACCATGTGCTACAATTTTCCCAAAATGTGGAACAATTTTTACATATTCCCAGCCTCCTTCACTACCACATACTTTTTAGTTGGTTTGGTGTACATAATTACAGCTATTTTCATGCTCTCTGACCCAACACTCGAGCTGCTGTACAAGGGCAACATTGGCATACACTACACCACTATGCAGGGAAGTCGGACACTGCCTAACCTGGATCCACGGCAGCTCTTCAATGCTGCAATTGGCATCTACTCGGCCATTGGTGGCATTGGTATTCTCTTTTGGGCTGGTATGACATACCAGTGGGTCAGCAGGGTGGACGACAAACCGCTGTAGCAATCTTTTTTTGTTATGAATTTGTCTAAAATTAAAAAATAAACCGTCTAGGTACTAACAGCCGGATCCACACGCTTTGCCAGCGGCTCGCGCTGTGCGCCATAGTTCTCAGTCACCATGTAGTTGTTCAGTAGCTATAGCTGGTTAGTACTCCTGTTTTTGGCAGGCTTGCCGCGTGGTGAGATGGCCGAGCGGTCTAAGGCGCCAGATTTAGGCTCTGGTCTAGAAATAGGCGTGGGTTCGAATCCCACTCTCATCACTGTTTTTTTGCGGTTTGCGGGATTGGCACGCTTTCTTTTTGTGTCGCAATTATATGAACTTTCCTTTTCTGTAAGTCGCATAGATTTTTTGCAAAGGTAACCGGCGATCCGGTAAGTCGATTGGTCCGAGCCTGCCGTTTTGCGTCTGTTATTCAAGGGGTAGCCGGGCGGACCTGTTTGCATCTCCGTTCTGTCCAAAAACGACTTTTTTTCTCCTACATTCTTTTGCGATTACGCTTGCTCAATCCACTGCGAAATAATGGCTGCCAGGCTTCCTGAACTAAAGTACATCAAGCTCGAGCTGCTCGAGTCGGGCGTTCTGGTGATGACATTCAACCGGCCCAAGCACATGAACTCGATGCTTCCTGCGTCGTACTGCGAGTGGGCACAGGTAATGAAGTACGTCCACGCGTCCGCAAATATCCGCGTACTGGTAGTTACCGGCAGCGGAGCCGCGTATTCAGCCGGTCAAGATCTTCCGGGCGGGCGGGTGCCTGATGGCGAGGACGAAAAGAAGGTGCTGTGGCAGCGCCGCAACGACACCTGCGAGCTGACTAAGCTGCTGGTCACCTCGCCAGTGCCGATAATTGGCGCCGTCAATGGTCCGGCGATCGGCTATGGCTGCACGACGCTGGCACTGTTTGACTTGGTGGTTGCTGCAGACACTGCTGTGTTTCGGACGCCGTTTGCCGAGCTAGCATTCTGTCCGGAGGGCTGTAGCTCGGTTACGTTTCCGCGCATCCTGGGTCCAATTGTCGCCAACGACATGTTGCTGATGGGGAAGAGCATGTCGGCAGCGGAAATGCACCAGCGCGGGTTTGTAGCTCGGCTGACCAAGCCCGCTGAGCTGATGGCCACGACGATGAAGTTGGCCCGGGAACTGGCCAGCCGCTCGACGGCGGCTATGCGAGCGTCGCGGGCACTAATCCGCAATCAGCAGTATGTTGACGAGCTTCTGCGCGTCAACGAAGTCGAAATGGACGAGCTGTATGAGCGTATGATTTCCGATGACGCCAAGCAGGCGATTGCGCGTGTGTTTGCGCGTCTGCAGGCCAAACGCAGCAATGCAAAGCCAAAACTTTAAAAACTCTAAACTAATGAGAGAAGCAGTAGCTGCATCCATTGGAGTATGTGCCGTACATTATTTTATTTTGTAGCACAGTTAGTGCTCTTCTATAGCCGTAGTTAACAACGCACGCAGGCTTTTACCCTCCTTTTTTTCTTACGTTTTTCTTCTACGTAGTTTTATTTCCATTGCCAAGATATGAAGGATATACGTGCAGTGCCGACGGCGGTGGTGGCGGGCGCGTGCGTTGCTCAGCTAATCGACAACATCACATACACGATCTCGTTTGCCTGCTTGCCCCACCTGTTTGAGGACATGAAGCTGGCATCAGAGTCCAAAATCGGACTGGTGGCGGCTATGTTTGGTGTTGGCGGAGTGTTGACAAGCTCGCTTTCCGGGTTCATTAGCGATCGGCTAAAGAGCCGAAAGCTTCCGCTAGTAGTTGGCTCTGTCGGATATGCCGTGTGTGGCTGCGTACTGTTCTTTTCGCACAAACTGTGGCACTTGATGCTTTATCGGCTGCTTAACGGCATGGCATCGGGACTAGTGTACCCGATTTCCACTGCGGCAGTTGGTGACGTGTATCCACACAAGCTTTTGGGGCTGCAAATGGCCATGCTCAACATGTTCAACAATGCCGGATACATGATCGGACCGATTGTCGGCGGCGTTGTGTATGACCATGCAGGCGTTCGCGGTGTGTCTACAGTGATCAGTAAGTGGTTCGGCACGCTGGGCATGCAACAGCTAGGGGTATTTGCTAACCGGAGTGCTATGAACAATTAAACGGTAGTGGTTATTGGCAGCCTGCTTTCTCTGATCCTGGGGTTTGGAATCAAGGAGCCGCTGCTGATTCACGATAATCTTATGGAGCAGGTCGAGGTGGCCAGCGAGCTGTCCAGCGAAAAGGAAAAGACAATCACCGAGGAAATCGAAATTGTCGAGTCCAAGGACATACCGCTGTGGAAGCTGGTGCTCAAATGGCGGGTGCTTCTGGCGTCGATAATCACGCTTTCGCTGGGCACGCTCAACAGCTCGCTGGACAATATGCTTGGGATCCACGTAAAGGACACGTTCAAAGTGACGTCGTCCAAGGCTGGGCTTTTGTACGTGCTGAACGGCGGGGTATCGATCCTACTGTCCATGCCCACGGGCTCGGCGGTCGACTGGATCATTGGCAGGCATGGCGAAATTGCGCGCGGGTATATCCAGATAATTGGTCTGCTGCTCACCAGCGGTGCAGTGTTTACCATCGGCATGAGCGACTCGTTTGCCACGATATTGGGCGTGGAGGCATGGCTGGCAGCCAGCAACCTGCTGGTCAACATTCCGGTGATGAGCAGCTTTGGCGACTTTGTGAACAGCCTGCGGCTCAATTCGATGGCCCAGTGCTATGGAATCTTCAACTCGTTCTGGTCGCTGTCCTCGACGTTTGCTCCGCCGATTGCCACGTGGCTGTATACGCGCATTGGGTTCAGAAGCACCGTGTGCGGGTTGCTTTCGGGGCTATGCATCTTGTGCGCTTGCCTGATACTGGGCGAGACCATATGGCAAATTAGAAAGCGGATTTAGCCGGTACTGTGCTGTTTTAACCTTGTAGTTTGCAACACCGAGTCAAGGCGTGGGAACAATCTAACTATAGACAGAAAACTCTATTAACATATAAATAATTGGAATATGCTCACCGCTCGTCAACCGTAATCAGGGCAATGCGGCCGTCGTGGCCCAGCAAAACGCATGCCGCCGGCGCTGGCAAGGCTGCACGCCGCTCGTGACCTGCAGGCCCCACTACCAGGCTGCCGCCTAGCGGCTGGGTCGGACATTGCACCAAAGTCCACCCAGCGCCCACATTCACACTATCCAGCGGCTGCATCGCACCTGGTTCATAAATCTCAAGCACGCCACGGCGCGCCGTATACACGGCCACAAGCAGGCAACGGCGGCCATCGCACGTGCTTTCCAGCCACGCGCACTGGCATCCACGCACGCCCTTGAGCATATGCACTACTTCGCACGAGTCTAGATCCAGCAGCAGCACGCGACCCAAAGAGTCGGTCAATGCAGCAAGCGCATACTGAGCCGGTGCCAGCGCAATGTGCAGGACTTTGCGCGGGCTGTCGCGCACGGCCAGCGCGCACGACACCATCGTGCTGGGTTCGGTGCGGCCAGGCGAAGCTTGGCCGGACAACTCGCCCGAGCCGCCGCGCCATAAATACGACCGCGCCATGCTTAGCACCGCGCCGGTGACCCGTGCAGCCATTTTCCCGGCAATGTCGACCGCCGAGAACGTCGCCGCCGCGTCTTCGCTGGTGGTGAATACGCCAAACGCTGCATCGCCATTCTGCGGCGCTACCAAAAACCGCGCGGTTGCATCGGCAAGCTGCGCGCTGGACGCGTGCGCGCCGCGCACCAGCTGCGCCAGCGGATCGCGCCACAGCGGCGGGCCGCAGGCAGCGGCGTCTGATACGCGTGGTGTGCCAAGGTCAAACGCCCACTTTTTGTACTGAAAAGTCGGTCCCTCGTCAATTGCAGCTTCCTCCAGACACAACCGCAGCGCCAGGTACAGCGACCGACCGTCGATGCTCACCAGCGTGCCGTCCCGGTACGTCAGGTTGACTTCCTCGCTGTCGTCGCTGGCCGCTCGCGGATCTGCACAAGAAGAGTACTGCAGCTTGTGCGCACTCTGCTCGCTGTTGGCCTGCGCAGGCGTGCGGAGCCGGATGCACTGCAGCCGCTGCGGGTGGAACTGATGCGCTGTGAGCAGATGTCCGTGCGCCGAGAACACGCGCATGTAGCCGCTCGAGTATCCAGCAATTACGCAGACGGCCGGACTGCTTTTGTGCGCCGGCGTGTATATATCCATGCAATACAGCGCAGTGATGGCCTCGCCGTCGGTCGCCGCGTCGCTGCCAACGGACACCAGCCGGTATTCTGATTTCCCGTCGCGCGGAATCTCTAGCAACATAAAGCGCGCCGCATGCGCTAGTGCCGTGTACCGTCCGCTTATCGACGTGGCGCATATGGTCTTGCCCAGCTGGTCCCCGCCTCCCTCGCCAAGCAGCAGCTTTACGAGCGAGCCGGGTATCTGCGCCTCTGCCAGCACTTGGACCCTTCCGTTCTTGGAGACAAACATCCTTTTTTTGCCAAGGAATTGCACAATTGAATAACTAGGAAAAAGCCACAAGACTATTGAACTGTATTTTAATCTACAAATTGGGGTCTCTTTGTATGTTGGTTGTGCCGCTTTTTTGTCCTATGGGTTATGCTCATGTGCCAAATTGGTGGCTAAATAGCCCGGATGCCGGAGGAGCGCTACCCTCTTGCCACATCCTCAGCTTCCTTATTTATTTTTCTTCCCATGCCTAGCGCTTATTCCACACTGGTGTCGCTGCTGAAGGCCATAGGCCGGACATCGTCGGAGCTCAATCGCATCCGGCACTCGCCGGCGACGATTTGGGCCATTGCGTCGCTGTCGCTGTTTATCGACACGTTCGTCTACACTCTGACCGTCTCAATGCTTCCAGACATACTCCAAAATACAATGCATTCACCGGCGTCGGCCAACGGCGTAGTGACGACAATGTTTGGCGTGGGCAGTGTGGTTGGTAGCACCGTCTCGGGTATTTTGAGCGACCGGCTGCGTGAGCGGCGCGGGCTGCAGATGATTGGCGCTGTGGTATACTCGGTCGCCGGTATTGTGTTTTACTTTGCTCGGCACTACTACCAGGTGCTACTGTTCCGGCTAATCGACGGTATCGCATCGGGCGTTGCGTGCACATTGCTGTATGCGTCGGTCGGCGACGTCTATCCTGCAAAGCTGCTGGCATTCAAGGTTGCCGTGGTGTACTTTTGTAACAATGTGGCCTACACAATTGGCCCCGTGTGCGGCCAGCGGCTGTTCGACATGGCCGGTGTCCGGGGGCCGGCTGCAGT